AGTTTGATCCCTGGTACCGGAAAAAAAACCTAAGCAGGCATGTGTGTACTTTTTGTCTCAGTAGATTTTACTATTCTGGTTTTTCATATGAGTGGAATCATAAAGTATTTGCATATTTGTGGCTGGCTTCTTTCATTTACCATAATGTTTTCAATCATGTGTTAGCATTTATCGATTTGTTGTTCCTTTTTTTTTCCCTCCTCAGTACTAGGGATTGAGTCCAGGGCCTTCACACTGAGCTGTATCCCCTATTTTTTTATTTTTTTAATTTGCAGCAGCATCTTGCAAAGTCAGTAAATTGCCCAAGCTGGATTTAAACTTAAGATCCTCCTGCCTCAGCCTCTCTGAGTGCTGTGATTAAAGGTGTGTGCCACCATGCTGGGCTGCATGTATAATACAGTAGTTACCGTGTTGTTCATTAGGTTTTCCAAACTTCTAACTGAAGTTTGATACTGCTTGCCCAGATAACCCCCATTATCCCTACTTCATGGTCCCTAGCAGTCACCTTTCCAGGAGTTTGGAGTCTTCAGGTTCCTCTGAGGGAGATCATGCAGTGTTTTGTGTCTGTCTTATTTCACTTAGCAGTGTCCCTGTGGTCACAGCAGGCAAGATTTCTGTTCTTTGGGCTGTATGCTATCCCCTTGCAGATGTGGGCCACATTGTTTTGTCCGTCAGTGGGCACTCAGATTGTTTCAGTTTTGGGGTTTTGTGAACAATAGAGCCATGAACATGAGCCAGGCTTTCATGTGGACATGGGTTGTCACTTCCCTGGAGTGTGTGCCCAGGGAGGAAACATACCTGAGAGGATAGGTGTTTAGTGTTTGAGGAACTGCCAACCTCTCTCCCAAAGTGCCCGTGCCACATTGTTTTTTGTCTCTTGTCTTTTTGAGACAGGGTCTCTCTGTGCAGTTCAGGTTAGCCTTGAGCTCACTTTGTAGCCCAGGCTGGTCTCGAACTCACAATGATCCTCCTGCCTCAGCCTCCCAAGTGCTGGGATTACAGGTGTGCGCCACCATGCCCAACCCTGTGCCACATTGGACATTATTCCCAACAGCAAGGTAAGGGTTCGAATTTCCCCAATGGCACTTTTGCCTGATTATTAGTTGTCCTAGTAGGTATACGACATTGTATCTTGTTTGGGTTTGGATATCTTCATTGGAGAAATGACTCTAAGGTATTTTGCGTATTATTAAATTAGGCTTTTTTGTGATGGCATTGTAAGAGTTCTTTATTTTTTGTATAAGTTCCTTATCAAGTGTGATTTGCATGTTTTTTCTCATGCTGTGGATCACTGTTTACTATTTTTAATGCTGTTCTTTGACGCACAAAGATTCTAATTTTGATGAAGTCCATTTGTTGGCTTTTTCCTTTTGTTGCCTGTTTTGGTACCCTATCTTAAGAATCCTTTGCCACAGGGCATGGTGGTACGAATAACTACTCAGGAGGCTGAGGTAGGATAATTGAAAATTTGAAGCTGATCTCTGGAACATAAGACCCTGTCTCAAAATAAAATCTAAAAATAGGTTGGGAGGGGCTGGGGATTTAGCTCAGTGGCACAGCGCCTGCCTGGCAAGCGCAAGGTTGTAAGTTCAATTCCCGGTACCAGAAAAAAAAAACAAACAAAAAAAGAACCCTTGGCCAGTCAAAGCCATAATGATTTATCTGTGTTTCCTTCTGAGAGTTTTGTAGTTTGCCTGCATTTAGGTCTTTGATGCATTCGGTGTTTGTTTTTGTGTGTAGGCTGAGGTGAGAATCTCGCTTCATTCTTTTCAGTAAGGACTGGGGTATTGAAGGTTTTGAAAGTAGAACAGATCTCGTCTGAATCTCGTTTGGATGCAGTCGTGGACATGGGTTGTTAGCGGGGAGATGAAGACTGACCTGCCGGTGTTCAAGTCCTTGGCAGGGTGGGAGGGGCTTTGTAGAAGCAGGGGCATAAAATGAGGCTGAAAAGCTGGGCACAGTGGCACATACCTGTAGTTCCAGCTACTCAGGAGGCTGAGGCAGGAAGGTCATTTAAGCCCAGGAGTTCAAGTGCACCCTGAGCATTATGAGACCATATGTGTGTGTGTGTGTGTGTGTGTATCTGTATCTGTGTGTGCACATTAATAAGGCCTGGGAGTTAGATCCAGAAGAGACCTGGAGATCTTTCTCAAAAAATGGGGCGGGGGGGGGTGGCCTCAACCTATCTTTCACTTAGAAATATGTGGGGAGCTGAATCTTCTTCATGGGGAATCTTAAGGTTTGCAGTCGATTCAGGGCAGAGCTAGTAAGAGCTGGAAGAGCTCACCAAAGCATAGACAGTGTGGAGGAGCTTGTCTCAAGAGAAGGGCTTTGATCAGCTGGATGTGCTGGCACAGCGCTCAGGGAGGCTGAGACAGGAGGATTGCGAATTTGAGTCCAGTTTGGGCTGCATAGTGAGACCTTGTCTCAAAAATAAAACAAAGCAAAAGAGTTTTGATGATGTCCTTTGGGTACAGCAGTGTGGCCCTGGTAGTACTTCACTGCAGTTAGACCAGGCATGGACTCTCATTTGGAATCTCCTCAGCACAAGGCTATCTTTCTTTTCTTTTTGGTTTTTTTTTCCCAGTACCGGGAACCGAACTCACAACCTTGCGCTTGCCAGGCAGGCGCTGTGCCGCTCGGCTAAATCCCCAGCCCTTATGATGCTATCTTTCTGTTCTTTCCTGGAAACAAAATTAGTTTCTCATCAGAAGAAAAGAGTTGCCTCATTTGACATCTTGCCTAGGTTAGAGTGGGTGGAGCCCAAAACAAAAGTCCCTCTTTAATCATGCTGGTGCTATTTTAAGGTGCTGGGGTTCAGTGTTCTGGAGTGTTTAAAGTCCCAAGTAGATCCCAAGCACCTTCTTTTATTTTTCTCTGCAGACCTGTGGGGACATAGGATCAGTGACCCATATGCTTACCACCCTCCCACCCTGTATCAGAGGAGGAAAACTGTGTAATCCAGGGGGATGGGAAGAATCCAGGGGGGTGGGAAGAATCTAGGGGGGTTTGGTAATTTAAAAAAAACTGTAGGTGGGGCTGGGCATGTTGACGCATGTTTGTAATCCCAGAACTCAGGAGGCTGAGGCAGGAGGACTGCTCCCAAGTTTGAGGCCAACCTGGGCTGCATAGTTTAAGGCCAGTGTCATAGGAAGACATTGTCTCAAAAAATAAAATAATAAAATAAGCTGTAGGTGGCTGGGCGTGTTGGTACACACATGTAATCGCAGCACTCGGGAGGCTGAGGCAGGACCACTGAGTTCGAGGCCACCCTGAACTACCTAATAAGACCCTGTCTCCAAAAAAAAGAAAAAAATGAGTTCAAGGCCAGCTTGACCTGTGAAACCCTGTCTCAAAAAGACAAAAAAAGAAAAAGCTGTAGGTGAGATATCATCAGAAAATCTCCAACAGTTCTCTGTCCCTCACAGGAGTGAGGAAGAGCAGACCATAGATCCTGGGTGCTACCCACCTAGTCAGGACTCACACTGAGTCTCTGACCAGCTTCCAGGCCAGCCTGGGTCCAGAGAGAGGGCAGGTAGAACAAGAGACCGGAATCTGCACATCTCCCCTGCACAGCAGCGAGCCAGCTGTGGGACGAGACCACCTTCCTGAGAGCTCATGTCTGGATGTCCTTGCAGGTCTAACCCTGCCTGCCCATCTGTGACTCCGCCACTGTGGTTCCAGATCCAGGGAGGATGGGGAGAGGAGAAGCCAGTTCTATTCTGAAGCCAGGCCCCTTCTCCACTGCCGCTGTCCCTTCCTGGCACTAGCCGCGCCTCTTGTGTCCTGTCTTTCCAGTGGCCCCAGCTTAGAGTGCTGGCCTAATGGCCGTCTGTGTGGGGAGACTCAGTGCTGTCAGGAGTAGAATTGTCCAGGCTTTTTTTTTTTTTTTGAGGCAGGGTCTTGCTGTGTAGCCCAGGCTGGCCTTGAACTCACAGCAGTCCTCTTGCCTTGGCTTCCCGAGTACTGGATGACAGCTGTGCGCCACCACACCCAGCTTATCCAGTCTTGATATGGGAAGAGAGGGAAAGATCATAGGTGCGAGCACCTCACCTTGCCGGGTCGAAGTTTTACAGTTGCTTTTTTCCTTTCAGTCCTGAGGTTTGAGCTACCTGCCCAGCCCTGTGTAGTTTGAGACAGGGTCCCACTAAGTCTCTTAAATTGCCCAGGCTAGGCTCAATTTAAAATACTCCTGCCTCAGTCTTCCAGACAGCAGGGATTATAGGCACATGCCTGGATTATACTTAATTTTATAATGTGATTCTAGACTGAGTCATTGGCTCGGGAATCTCATGGTACAGAAAATTGAGTGCTTCTGTCATAAGACATCAGAAATGTAGGTCATGGGCCTGGGAAGTGTAGTTCAGTGGTGGAGCACGGCCACGCCACATCCTGTGTTCACTCCAGCACTGAAACGAAGGCGCACAGACAGAGCCAGTGTGGCGTGTGCCTGTGATCCGGGGAGGCTGGGGAGGCTGAGGTAGGAGGATTGCTGTGAGTTTCCGCCCAGCCTGGCCTATATAGTGAGGCCCTATTTTAAAAAAAAGAAAGTTTGGAAGAAAAGTAAAAGTCACCGTTTCTTGCCTTAGGGGGTTGCAGTGCCTTGAGAAATCAATCACAAGGAGTTTGCAGGCCGTGCTCCACCTTGGGCAGAAGTTTTGAATGTAGAAGTAATAGAAGCTGAGTTTCCTGTGGGGCGCTGGATGTGTAGCGGTTGTTCTTCATTAGGTGCTTTCTCATCTGGGTGCTGTCCTGAAAGTTTTCAGTCCTGGAGTAACAGGGACATTTGTAATCCAAATACCGAGAATTTAAGCCATTTTGAGATGGGGAGAATCAGTTTAAATCAGGCCACAGTGTTTAATCCTTGCATATGTAAGAGAGACCTCAGGGAAAGGGGCGGCCATGGCAGCAAAGACGAGGCTGCCTCGGAGACCCTACCCCCCATGGGAGAGGGGGCCCCATTCCGACCCTACTTCCAGCACTGATGGGAGCTTTTCCAGGGTGAAGAAGGGGAATACAGTGAAGAGGAGAGCTCCAAGGTGGAGTTGAAATCAGAAGCTGATGATGCTGCCAACTCACCAGCTAAAGAAGAGAAGGGAGAGGAAAAGGCTGACAGCAAGGGCACCGTGACCGGAGAGCGGCAGAGCGGCGACGGACAGGTCAGGCCTGGCGCCGTTCTCCCTGCGGGCTGGGTGGGGCCTCCAGGCTCGGGGCTGGAGGGTAAGGAGCCCCCTGTCGTCCTCCAGGAGAGCACGGAGCCTGTGGAGAACAAAGTGGGGAAGAAGGGCCCCAAGCACCTGGACGACGATGAGGACCGGAAGAACCCCGCGTACATCCCCCGGAAGGGGCTCTTCTTCGAACACGACCTCCGCGGGCAAACTCAGGAGGAGGAAATCAGGTAACAGCGCCCCTGCTGCTGTGTGGCGGGTCGGGTGCCTGCTGCACACCAGGAGGTTTGCTAAGTGCTTTACCTAGCTACTCCTAGACCTTTGAGACCCGAAGTACTGCTCAGGCTGCTTTTCTGAGGAGAGGGAGGTGTTGTACGGGCCTGAGTGGCTCGGGACACTATCCTGGTTTTTGTCCAGGCCCAAGGGGCGTCAGCGAAAGCTGTGGAAAGATGAGGGTCGCTGGGAGCATGACAAGTTCCGGGAAGATGAGCAGGCCCCCAAGTCCCGGCAGGAGCTCATCGCTCTGTATGGCTATGACATCCGCTCAGCTCACAGTCCTGACGACATCAAACCCCGAAGAATCCGGAAACCCCGGTGAGAAAATTTCAGAGCCTACATTACTACTATTTTTAGAAAGAACTCTTTTGCTTCTCTCAATCCCTTTCTAGCCAGTGAGTGAATGGGTAAGAAATATTTTCCTGTTGTTAGCGGTCACCCTCCCATTTTGTTTACCTCTGTTTGCCTTGCCTGCTGAGTTCCTGCTGTGGGGGTTCGTGGAGCTGTCGTCCTTGTTGTCTCTTTCTAAAATGTCCTTCAGAACTCACAGGGATCCTCCTGCCTCAGCCTCCCTAGGGCTGGGATTATAGGTGTGTGCCACCACACCTGGCTGTTGTTTTATTCCTCACATTTTCTGTTTCCCTTTGTTTTAGGTACGGGAATTCTCCACAGAGAGATCCAAACTGGGTTGGTGAGCGATCAGTCAAGTCCCATCGTCACCAGGGTCCCGGGGGCACCCTACCACCAAGGACATTTATTAACAGGAACGCGGCAGGCACTGGCCGTATGTCTACACCCAGGAATTACCCCCGATCTGGAGGCTTCAAGGAAGGCCGAGCTGGGTTTCGGCCTGTGGAGGCTGGAGGGCCACATGGCGGCCGTTCTGCTGAGACTGTGCGGCATGAGCCTGGCTACCGCTCTCGGCGCCTAGAGCAGGCGCCTGCACGGGCCCCGTCGCCAGAAGCAGACGCTGCGGTGCTTGGCAGTCCCGAGAAGGAAGAGGCGGCTTCGGAGACACCAGCTGCTGCCCCTGATGCTGCCCCACCAGCCCCTGACCGGCCTGTTGAGAAGAAATCCTATTCCCGTGCCCGAAGAACCCGAACCAAGGCTGGAGATGCGGTCAAGGCTGTGGAGGAGATGCCCCCGCTGCCTGAAGGCCTGACGTCGGCCCCTCCAGTCCCGGAAGCTGCCGCTCCTCCGTCGGGGAAGGCTGGAAGCTGGGAGTCTCCTGTGGACTCGGCCACAGGCGGACTGGAGCAGGATGTGGCACAGCTGAATCTTGGGGATCAGAGCTGGAGTCCAGGACAGCCCCCCTTCCTGCAGCCCCGGGAGCTTCGGGGTAGGCTCTGTGGGCTCAGGGCCTTGGGAGGAAGGCATCTCAGGAGTGTGGTGTCTGGTGTCATTAACCAGGAAAGAGAGGGTGGGAGCCTTGCTCCGTTTGTCCAGTCCCCAGACCTCCTCTTGCCTTGTCCCAAGGCTGCCCAAGATCTCCATACTGTTACGTGATGGCCGTTTTCCAGTCTCCGTACAAAATGTGAGGCAGCAGCATTGTTCTTTTGTTAAACAAGGACATGTTGGTTTCTGTTTTTTGGTTTTTTTTTCCTGTACCGGGAACTGAACTCACGACCTTGCGCTTGCCAGGCAGGCACTGTGCCGCTGAGCTAAATCCCCAGCCCTAACAAGGAGATGTTTAAAAGCAAAAACTGACTTGATTGCGATCACGGTCTTCTGTCCCTGAAGGAGGCCTTTTTAATTTCCCTACTCTTCTAAAACACAGTGCCCGGTAGAACTTAATGTAATGCCCGTGTTTTTTAATCTACTTGACATGGCCAGAGGGAGGAATTGAACTTTCAGTTACATTAAATACCCACAAGTGGATGTGGCCATGTAGGACAGCATAATTCTACAGAGTAGGACATGCCTGTTGCCCCTTTTACCTGTTCTGCTTTGTCTAACTGGATACAGCAAGGTGTCTTTTGCCCAGTTTTTTAAATTTAGCTCTTAACTTGAAGATGAGAAGTCCTTTCCACACGTGTCATCCCAGCACTCGGGAGGCTGAGGCAGGAGCATTGCTCTTAGTTCAAGACCAGCCTGGGATACATAGTGAGACTGTGTCTCAAAAAACCAAAACAGAAAGAAAGAAGTCCTCATTGGGCCTGGGAGTTTGTGCACCCTTTTCTGGTAGGGATGATGTGTTTTTTCTTATTTTGAGACAGAGTATTTTTTTTATATTTTATTCTAAGACAGACTCACTAAATTGCCCAGGCTGGGCCCGAACTTGGAATCCTGCCTTAGCCTCCCAAGTGCTAGGATTATACATGTGTACTGCAACACCCAGCCTTCTACTGATACCTTACCATCATTGAAAGACAGTCTGTAGAACATTCCTTTACTTGCTGAGAAAATTTCAGCCAGAAGGGTCTCTTCCAGATTTCTATCCCAGACTTCTCTGGGGTCAGGGTATCAAGTAGATTTATAGAACCTCTCACCCTGTCCACCTGTTGCTCAGCGGCTTTGGGGCTGAGATTTTACAATAGGTTTGGTAACAGAAGGTGCTGATTAGAACTGCCTAGGGCTCCTTGGTGTGCAGGAAGTACTGGGTAGGAAAGTGTGAACCTGAGTCTCAGTGGGCATCTTCTCATGTTGACGGGCCTTATTGCTGTCATAGGTGGTGGGCAGCGGGAGCCAGTTTTCCAGTGCCAATGTGGACAGTAGCAGGTGGTTTAAGAGGAACTTTGCTACTTTAAAAGAAGAAAGCAGTTCTTCTCATTTCTCTTGTTCTGTTCAGAGTGGCACCTGAGTCACACTTCCCTGCATCTGTCTGCAGCAGTAACTTTTTGTGTATTACAGGTGTGCCCAACCACATCCACATGGGGGCAGGACCTCCACCTCAGTTTAACCGCATGGAAGAAATGGTACTGGGGGGAAGGGGGCATGGGGAAGGGTGCTTTATTATAGTGTACTCCACTGATGCTTCGCCAGGTGTGATGGTGCACACCTGTAATCCCAGCATTTGGGAGGCAGAGGCAGCAGGATCGCTGTGAGTTTGAGGCCAGCCTGGGCTACATAGTGAGTTCAAGGACAGCCTGAACTACATAATGAGACCTTGTCTGCAAAAAAAAAGTCGATGCTTTCCATTGACTTTTCAATTCATTTTGCAAATATCTATGAAACTTGCTCTGTGCCGAGAGTTCTGCAACATCAGAAGAGTCAGGTCTTTCTCTGAGGAGCCCTGGAAGTCTTGTTCAGGTCTGTCTCTGTCACAGGGCGTCCAGGGTGGTCGAGCCAAACGCTACTCATCCCAGCGGCAGAGACCTGTGCCCGAGCCTCCTGCCCCTCCGGTGCACATCAGTATCGTGGAGGGACATTACTACGACCCGCGTGAGTAGTGTCTTCTCGTTGGGGCAGAGCCGCCTCGCCTGCCTTGATTTCCCTTCTGACCTCTTGTGGTTATCAGACATTCTTTAGCTGATGTTTTCTTCATGTGCACTTTTTTTTGTCTTGTTCTTGTTGTTGGCAGTACTAGGGATTGGATCCAGGGGTGCTCTACCCTTGAGCCGCATTTCCATTTTTAAAAGTTGAAGATGGAGGCAGGGTCCCACTGAGCTGCCCAGGCTGCCCTCAGCTTGACAGTCCTGCCTCAGCCTGTCGAGCAGCTGGCAGAGAACGTCTTTTAAAGGGTTTGGGGGACAAGACAACTTGCCCATGAAGAGGGAGGGTGTATATGAGCCCCACTGTGCTATCTTACAGTGCAGTTCCAGGGACCAATCTATACCCATGGCGACAGCCCTGCCCCGCTGCCTCCACAGGGCATGCTTGTACAGCCGGAAATGCACCTTCCACACCCAGGTAAGTAGCACTCCCGCTTGTGCTTCCGGGATGTGAGGGTATGTCGGGATTTCCGCCTTACGAAAGCGCCCCCTTGGAGCGCCCACCCGGTGCCTGGATTCACCCTGAGGACCTCCCTCCAGAGCAGCCAGCCAGGCCTCCTTTGAGAACAGTGGTGTCATCTTTTTTAGATTCTATTTCCTCTTTCTCTAGGTTTACATCCCCACCAGACACCGGCACCTCTGCCCAACCCAGGCCTCTATCCCCCACCAGTGTCCATGTCTCCAGGACAGCCTCCTCCCCAGCAGCTGCTTGCTCCAACTTACTTTTCCGCTCCCGGCGTGATGAACTTCGGTAACCCCAGCTATCCTTACGCTCCAGGAGCCCTGCCTCCCCCACCGCCGCCTCATCTGTACCCTAACACACAGGTGAGATGGCCCGTGTGCCCACAGGCTTCTCCAGCTGCTCATCCTTTAACACAGGCAGGAGTGTGGGCAGGGGGAGTACTGAAGAGATTTTAGTGCCACTGCGTTTTGTGTGGTGCCAGATGCCTCTTGGTGGTCGGGAGCTGGAAATGCAGCTTACGCAATGGCCCTCAGCTGTTAACTGTCCTCGGTTACTGTCGTGGCGTCAGATCAGTGTTTCAGTACAGCCTGGCCGGCCGTATCCCTGTTTATCTGCGTGAGGGGCTGTATGCTGCTCCTCTGTCGCTTCCCTGGCCCCTGTCCTGCTCAGCTGTCAGGGTTGACACCATCTGTGTCTGATTGTCACCATGAGCTTAGCCTATTCCACATGTCAGCTGATGGTAAGGTAATTGGAGAAAGCAGGGCAGTACTTGGAAGACTCAAAGCCAGAGCATAATAGTGACATACCGAAGTGAACGCTCAATGTATTTTGGAGGGGACAGCTTTAAAAAAAATTGAGAATTCTTCACATTTTCTTTTGAGGGGGTGAGATCATTGTAGTCAGCTGACCTTGAAGTCGTAACCCTCCCGTCCCAGCGTCCTGCGTGCTGGGATTGACAAATGTGCAGCACCGCGCCTGGCTCCAGACTCCTTTTCGAAGCTGGATAGTGTTTCCTGTTCATGGTTGGATGGACTCTTAACTTTCTCTTCTGGCTTGTGGGGTCCCAGGCCCCGTCACAGGTGTACGGCGGAGTGACCTACTATAACCCCGCCCAGCAGCAGGTGCAGCCGAAGCCCTCCCCACCCCGGAGGACGCCGCAGCCAGTCTCCATCAAGCCCCCTCCGCCGGAGGTATGGGCTCCTTCCCACGCTGAAGGCGCAGGCCACCGCAGGGCTCCTTTCTCCAGAGGACTCTGCTTTTCAGGGTGCATTTCTGTGGAAACGTCCTTTTTATGTGACCTGACAATAGTTTTCACCTTGGTTATTGCAGGTGGTGAGCAGGGGCTCCAGTTAATGTGACGTTCTGAATATTTCTGGCCCAACATCTTAAAAACGTAAGTGCACAACTTAACTGTCACTGTTCTTTTTTTTTGAGACAAGCTGTCAGTATGCAGTTCAGGCTGGCCTTAGACTTGCTGTGTAGCCCAGGCTGGCCTTGAACTCCTGGCAATCCTCCTGCCTCAGCCTCCCGAGTACTGGGATTACAGGTGTGTGCCACCATGCCTGGCACAATGACGGTTCTTAATGTCTGTGCTCCTTCTTGATGAACAATGTTACCTGCTTAATGCTTTGCTTTTAATCAGAAGACTCTTGGGAGGCTTAGAGAGACCTGGGAGTTGCCATTTTCTTTGTTTTCTTGAATGTATCAGAGAGAGTTGAAGTAGAAACCATTGTTAGCTGGGCAGTCAGTGCTTTCACTCAGGGAGCTGAAGGGAGAAATCCAGACATGCAGCCAGCCCTGGTGGTGCACACCTGTGACCCCAGCACTGGGAGGCTGGTGCAGGAAGTTGCGAGTTGTAGCCCCTCTGGTGCAAGTTAATGACTTAGACCCTGTCTTGATATGAAAAAGGGCTGGAATATAGCTCATGTGAAGGTCCTGGCCTTCATCCCAGTACCCCGCCCCCCACATACACACACACAAAGAAGGGAGGGAGAGGAATACAGGAATGAAGTATGAGATTGACCAAGAGAGGGGAGGTCTAAGTTTAAGGTGATACAGCAAAAAAAGCCAGTTGTAAAGGTCATAGAGGATGGAGACCATGGAGAGCCTCTCTATTCTCCTGTTTTAAGGGCATTACAGCCCAGTCTTAGGGCCTAGGGTGTGGCTCGGGCGCAGGCGGCAGGGCCTGTGCTTAGCCCCCATGCGCCTTGGGCTCAGTCATCAGCACCCAGACCGTAAGTGAACAAGCACAGTGGTCAGCAGACGTAAGGGCCGGCCCACTACTGACACTGCGGTCTCCCCTTTCCCCTTTCCCCGCCCTCACAGAGGCGTGATCTCAGGAGAGGAGAGCTCCAGCGGCTGTTACCACCCCACGGAAGCGCTGGCGAGGCGCGGCCGGGCCCGCCGCGGGCAGCGGAGGAGCTTCCTCCAGACAGGCTCAGCAAGGGAGCCAAACGCGCGGTCCACCCAGCTGCGTGTCCCCCGGAGCCTGCCTTGCTGCGCTTCACCTTCTCCCAGGACATTCGAGGGTCTCTGGCTCACAGGGATGTCCCTTCCTGGGGTGGTTTCGTTTTCTAAAATGTTCATGTTTTAAAAGCCTGGCTTGCTGTTCTTAAGTTAAAGTCTGTCTCCATGAAATGAGTGTGTTTTTCTGGCTTGCTAACCCTCGGGTCCCCTTGGCCTCTCCCTGGACCGCCGCTGGCTGAGAGGGTGTCCACACAGTGTGAGGGGTGCACTGCACTGTCTGCGGCCCTGCACGCTCTCTACTCGGATCCTCCTGGCTCCTCTACCCCGAGGAGAAAGACCTGTCCGCAGTGTCCCCCTGCAGAGGAGGGGTCGTCAGTGCCTGGCTGTGGGGACCTCGGCCTCTTCGAGTGTAGAGCTGCTGGGGCGGGGGGCAGCAGCGAGCGGGGGGCAGCAGCGAGCGGGGTAAGTGGGGCTGGGGGCCTGCTTCTCCCCTCCCCCGCACCCACCCCCAGTCGCTGTGGACCAGTGCATCTCTAGCAGCAAGGGCTGTCTGGCAAGCACTGCCTTGTTGGGGCAGCTGCTCCTCTCCGGGCCGTTCCTGCTGTGAGTGTCTGCGATGACCCCACCTCCCTTCCCCTCAGTCTCTCGTCCTTGTGGGCAGAAGGCACTGTGCCTGGGCTTCCGGCCCGCGGCAGCCAGTCGTCCAGTGAGCGGGGCTCTCCCTGCTCTCCTCCCTGTCGCAGCCCTAAACGGCCCCCTGCTTCCTCTGCAGAAGAGTTCCCTGTCACTGCAGAGCCCACGTCTATCCGGAGGCCTGGCCCTGCCTGTCCTTCAGAACCTGAGGGAGAGGGCAGCTGTAATGTCACCATTGCAGCTCCCTCCACTGGCAGCTGGCCTGACTGCTCTGAGTCGCTGTGCAGGGGAGAGGGGGAGACCTGGGCTGTGACCCCAGGAGGAAGGCATGAGGGCTTCCCGGGGTGGCTGGTGCTCGTGCCTTTGTCAGCTTCCCTTTGCCTTAAACCTGAAGACGTCTCTGCAAGCCTGTGGGCGCTGCCCCGACTCCCAGACCTGAAGACACTGTGACAGTTGTCTCTGTCGTCCACTGTGTTTAGTTGCAAAGTGTGTTGTTTTTTATTACTAAAGAGTGAACCTTTGTGATCAGCATTGTGACCTGAACATAATAAAATTTAGACTATAAACAGCTTCCTTGCCAAGGTTTGTGTGAGTCTCGATTTGGGCAGGGTAAGGGCCCCCTGATCCCCCGTCAGACTTGTGAAGTGGAAGCCGGAGGGGTGGGTGAGTGCGTTGGGATGCTGGTGAGCATAGCTGCCTCCCGGGGCAGGGGAGGTAGCTGCTGGGTCCTCCGTGTGTCTGGACGCCCTGTCCGGTGCCCTTCCTCATCCACGCTGCACGGACAGCAGAGGTGCTGCAGCCTCCCACAAACACATTTTGGGGACAGAAAAGCTGCTGCCCTAGGACGCAAGTGTCGATGGTGCCTGCCTTTGGCAGCCACATTTCTCCAGGCAAAGCACAAGTGCCAGTACCTCTGCACCAGCTCCCAGCTGAGAGGTATAGACCGCCGTCCCCTGGAAAAGTAAAGTTGCTGTCCCTGACCGAGGTGTGAGAGGCTCCCAGCCGTCCCTGCAGGGAAGGGGCTCGGAATGAGATGCCAACGGCTGTGGCCCCCAGTGTCCTTTCCCTGGGCCGTGGGCCCCAGATGTGCCAGGGAAATGCCCAGCTTGAATGGACTTTGCTCTGGGTTCTGGGTAGGGTGGAAGTCAGGAAAAGGCTCCCCTGGCATGGGAGAGTAATTGCGTTGAGTGAGCTGGTGACATTTACTGGGGGCACCCTGAAGTGACATGGAAATCCCACACCCCAGTGCTGCTGCAGGCAGATGACCATGACTTCCTGACCTCGTCTCCAATTCCTCTAAGCCGTCGTTTTGCTTCCCTCCTCACACAGGGTGGCGGTGGGGATCGGCGGGCCTCCTGGGGTCATGCCAGCAGCGCCGGCCTGCACTGGGCTGAGGTGCTGGCAGGAGGCGTGAGTGTTAAGATGCTTCCCCCTCGCCCCTGCCTCTCACCTCCTCAGGCCTGCAGTTAGATCCCATTGCTCTCTGTTGCCCTGGTAACCAGCTCAGCAAGAAGAAGCTCAGGCTCAGCAAAGCCCCCAGGTTCTCTGCCCTCCCAGCCTGCCTTTCGGTGGGCAGGGAAAAGGGGAGGAAAGGGCAGTCAGAGGGGCCTTTGATGACCCCGCCTAATCCCCTAGAAGGCCAGGCGCAGGGCTGTCTCTCAGAGCTTTCCGCCTGGGCTCCTCAGCGGTAATTCCTGTCACCCTACCGTTTATTTTCTCCCGTATGCCCACAGGTGCCCCGCCAACCCTAACCCTCCAGGCTGGCATGCAGGCCTCCTATCTTAGGGCGACAGCACAGCAAGGACTTGAACCTCCCGGTATCTGCAGCCCGCTTGGGTTGGGCTGCCTCTCTAGGGTGGTGGTGGAACCCTGGCTATTTAAGCCACCTGGGGAGCTGTTCAAAAACACAATACATAAGCTCGGCTGGGCCTGCCCCACGTGCCTCCTCTGAGGCATCTGCGGTGTGACTGGAGCATCAGGGTTTCCGAAAAGCTTCGCTGTGGTTCCGGGTGCAGGAGGACACGCTGGCCCTCCTCCTGATGAAAGCTCTCAAACTCGGTCGCCGCCTGGCCCCCGTGAGCAGAGAGCTGCTCTAGTCCCGCTCCCCAAGCTTGCGGTTTCCAGAAGTCGCAGTCCCTTTTATTTCCAGCTCCCACTCCCCCCACACTCCCCAATTCTTCGCCCTTCCTAACCGACAATCCCAAATCCTGCCCAGAGAGGAGGTTACCCTGGCAACCAGCTTAATCTGGTAACTGTGGCATGTGCTGGGAGAGAAGCCCTCCCCTCTTCCTGTTTGGTTCACAAAATGCTACCTGGGCAGCTCCAAGCCACTCCAGCCAGTGTCACCTTTCAAAGCCAGGAGCACTGGATGTCCCATAAAGGCAGCGCGGGAGGCTGCCCCTCAGACCTGCCTTGTTGCCACAGTTGGGCTCAAGCTCCCCATCGTCCCCTCCAAACCCACAGATGGGTGTGTGAAGCTTCGTTTCTGTGAACACATGCTCTAGCACACATGGCCCCAGAAGCGCAGACGAGTCACGAGGGCAGCGCACACCACCACCGCTCCCAGCGATCAGCCTTCCCGACTGCGCCGGCTGTGCACCCTGAACGGGTGGGGCGCCGTCCAGGAGCCGCAACCCACCTCGGGCCTGGTGCCAAAGCCCAGCCTGGGCGTGCTCGCCCTGGCTCCAGCCTTTCCTGGGCAGAGCACACTTAGGGACACACTGCTCTGGGCATGGGCATCCGAGGATGGCTTGGAATCGCAGCTCGGCATCACCTGTCCCACTGCACAGAGGTCCACGCCGGCTCAGCGTGGTGACGGCCCTTGGCAGTTCTGGGGCACTTGTCACCCATGGCGTGGCCCTGCTTCCCTCTGCTGTCAACCTCCTCCCCGCTGCCTACTATCTCTGCTCAGCCCAAGACCTGCCACAACCTGCTGCTCTCTGCCTGCCAGTACCTGTCTCGCAGGCCAGCCCTGCACCACCTACTCTACCTGCCCGAGAGGGCAGGTGAGCACCGCCCCCGGTGCCCATGCCCACCCACCCGAGAGGCCTTTCAGTCCTTCTCAGGGCAGGACAATAAAGGCCACATGCTCCCGCCAGAATAGCAAAGGTGCGTGGGGGCCAGCAATCTTACAGGCCTCACCTGCGCACAGGTAAGTGCGCCCAGCCACAGACCCGCCCCAGCTCTTGGAAATGACGCGAAGCACCCAGCTCATCCCCTAAGTCAGGTCTCCTCCATCGCTAGACTGCTCCCTGGCCCTTCCCCTTCATTTCTGCGCCTGTCCCGCGCCCAAGCCCCTGACTGCCTGCTTCGGGGGTCCACCGTGCGCCCAACTTCAAGCCTGGCGCGGCCAGGGGGCGGGGCCACGGCGGGGCGGGGCGGG